GTGTGGCCTTCTCCACTACTTTCAGGGGAGCAGCCCGCACATGGTACCGAAACTTGGCACTTGGGTCGATAAGAAGTTGGGCGCAGTTCGCACAAGCCTTCACGTCCCACTTTGTCACCAGCAAACGGTGCCCGCGGACTGAAGAAAGCATCTTCAACGTAGCCCAAAGAGAGGGAGAGTCCATCCGAAGTTATATCAAACGGTTCAACGACGCTTGTATGCAGATACCGCGCCTGGACCCCTCTGTACGCCTAGCAACGGCCAAGAAGGGCGTAAAGCACAAAGAGTTCAAGTGGCACATGGTCGTCGACCAACCCGCGACCATAACCGAGTTTCTAAAGCTTGCGGATAAGTTCATAGCCACTGAAGAGGAGATCAACTAGAAGGGTGAGGGCGTACCCAAAAAAAGAAAGAGAGAAGGGGAACCTTCCAGTCAAGGGGACACCCGAAGAAAAAAGGAAATAGTTCGGGGTGCAAAGCCGGGTCAGTTGTTCCGAGTTCCCGCACCAGACCGAGATGACTACACCCCACTGAACGCAAAGCGGGCCGAAATCCTGATGGCAATCAAGGACGCCCTGTACGTGAAGTGGCCGCCCCGTCTGAGGGGGAATCCCAATGAAAGAAATAAGAGTTTGTATTGCAGTTTTCATAAGGACCACGGTCACAGTATCGAGAGTTGTAAAAACCTCCGCAATGAGATAGAGGAGCTCATCCGTCGCGGATATTTGAGAAACTTTGTACAAAATAATAATAACAATAATAATAGTAATAGAACAGGTCGGCAAGGGAAGAACGGTAAAGACGCTTCCGAGTCCAGTGGCAAGCCGGCCGAACAACCACAGAGATAGCCTCCAGAGGAGAGGCCAGTTCGGGGAACCATCCACATGTCGGTCGTTGCAGGGTGCACCTCAGCGGCAGCTCGGACGTCGGTTTGCGAGGTCACTCGGGAGGAGCAGAACCCCCCAAAGCGGCCGAGAACAGAAGAGCCAATTTTCTTCACAGAAGACGATGCGTGAGGGGTCCATTACCCCCACGACGACACGTTCGTAATAAAGCTGAGAATCAACGACTTCGAGGTTAGGCGCATACTCGTCGACTCGGGCAGCTCGGCCGACATACTCTTCAAAGCCGCGTTTGACCAGCTTCAGTTGCAGAGAAG